AATTGTTGTTAATTTAGAGAACGAAAATTCATTGTGGTAATTGATAGGAAAATCATTCTTATGACAGTGAAATACCCCTCAATCACATTTTCACATATTTTTAAAAAAAAATTTACTTTGTTTATTTCAAAATTCAAATCTTTTCTATTTTTTGAATTTATTGATTTCTTTAGTTCTACGAACCAACCCCCTCCCCCCATTTAATCAATTTCGTGTACAACTGTTAATTTCACTTTCTAGTATGCAATTGATTAATTTGAATCAATCCTCTGCGGAAAATGACTCTTACTTGCCATATTACTATTTAAAATGACATGTTCGAATCTAAGGAAAATTTATTGGTACGTCATTTGGAACGTATCAACCCCCATTTGGGCTTCGCTATAATGTGTTTTTGGAGAAAATGTATTTTGGAACAATGATTTTTTTTAAGGATGTGTGGTTTAAAAAGAAACTCTTTCAATCACACTTTCTAGGTAAAATAATATTTTTTTTTAAGGACGCGTAGTTTAAAAAGAATGAAAAGTTTTAAGTCTAAGTATAATATTATTTTACTTAAAAAGTGTGATTGAAAGAGGTGAGAAAAAATTTAATCTATTAATGGATTCAACCGAACTGATTCACGATGGTTTTCAACAGCTAAGTGGGTAGTCGATTTCGCCAACCTATTGGATAGTCGGGTCACTCGAGATGCGGGGTGAGCAATCGACCCATTATTATTCGACCCAAAATGATGATATATATAAATATATTTTTTAAATTTAATCTTTTAAATTCGAGTTTTTTACGAGTTGTGAAAATCAAATTTTTGACAAGTTACAAAACAGAATATCAAAATTCAAAATAAAATTGTAAATCGTTCCTTCCATCACAGACCCAAAAGAAAACTGAGTGATTCCATAAAGAAATAAAAAAGAAACACTAGCCACACATCGTTGACAATACGGACGGTCTAATCTCTTTTGCAACCGGCATCTTTGCCCCTCCACGTCACCTCACTTCGTAGCTCCATGCCTCCATATCAATCTCTCGCACGGTGCTCTGATGGTTGTTTATGGGTGAGTTGGTGGTGATAATCTATGGTAGTGGTGTTTTAAACAAGTTGGGTCGATTTTCAAAAAGCAGTCATTTTGGTTTTCGAATTGAATTTTGATCCACCCAGAAAACTCGATTCAATGTCGGGTTAGATTCCAACCCGACTCGTGTCTATCCCTAGTTAATTGATGAAACTCATTGTTAAGGATAAATTTTGCACCTAAACTTATAGGTTGGGAGACACTATTGAGAATTGAATGAGAACGCCATTTCAACACCCTCATGGGCTCGAAACAAAATGGTAAAATTTTTCAGTACTTTTATATTTTGGTTTATATTCACCTTTTAAAAAGTCATTCAAAAATTCCCTCGAGAGGAATTTGGGTATCATTCGAAATTCATAAACTTCTCTATTCGAACTTTTTTAATTGATTCGTAGTTACGCTGGTCGTGCTACAAATGCCAAAGTGGACTGTGGTGAAAGGTTTCTTGGCCACCAAGATATTAATATTAGCCTTATAATTAAAGCGCGAAAGATAAGTATTGAGCTTCATAGTTTACTTAAGGTAAATTAGAATACATTTTGAAGTAATTTTTATAATAACCAGATCTATTTTTATTGAAAGAAATGTTGGATAATAATATTGTTACCAAGGAAAAAAAAATTACCTTTGATTATCCAGAATTATAGATGCAAAAAAAGAATGGGATGAAAGTGTTCAATGAAAATATAGTTGGTGTTCATATTTTACGCTTTCCAGGTTCAACATATCTACTTACATATTGGAGTGTCTTTGTAAAAAAAAGAAACAATGATTCGTGTAGCAAAACAGTTGTAGAATGAGACAATTCACTAAAAATTGCAAAGCCTTGTGCATTTGCAGTAAAGAAATGATATGCTAACAAATTTACTACCTTAGGTAATAATACGTTGCATTGACGAAGTAGAAATGGAACACTATCTACAAGAACTCACAAAGGAAGTTTACACTTTGGCAAAACTATAATGGAGTGCTATACTATAGGATTCTATTTATGCAATAACCTCACCAATTTTCTTGAAACCAATAGATACAATAACTGCTATATGATAAGAAAGAGTGTCATTTATAAGCACTACATAT